TCAGGAGTTTGAACTTTATTCCCAAGGCAATAGGGAACCCAAAAATGGTTTTACACAGGGCAATGCAATAATTAGCTTTCTGTTGCAGGAGGAGGCAGGGATAGAGCAATGGAAGAAGACAGGCGTGGCCGGGGTCTATCTCGGAGATACAGTTGATCTGAACAAAGGGTAGTGACAGTGGGATCAGGAATGTGCCCTCGAGAGGACTTTGGATAGGAGGAAGGAATGAGATGAGCCAGGATGATAACCTAGTTTTTGTCCTGGACAAAGAAGGAGATAGTGGCGCTACTCACTAAATAGAAGAAACACAGGTTGATAGTAGGGGAACAATTCCACGAGTTTGAAATGCCTGTGGGCTATTTGAAACAAAACAAAACTGGTAGACAACTGGCTATATAGGTCTAGAAACAAACCATAAAATCTGAAATAGAGTTGTAAATTTGGAATCACTGGCATATAAATTAAAGCCATGGGAGAGTGTAAAATGAAACGCAGGAAATGAGAAAAGAGAACAGATTAACTGGGGGGGCCTGGCTCTGCTTAAAACCAAGGCGAAGAGGGAAGCAGAGGAAGGACCCTACAAAAAAGAAAAAAAGAGTAAGGGGGTGAGGTATTCAGGGGGGAGGCAGGAAACAAGGGAATCTGGGGTAAGAGCAAAGTGTATAGTCTGTATTCCAGAAAGAAGAACAAAAGTATGAATTTTCGTATGAATTCATACATGGAAAGCCCCTTATTATTTACACTATTCCAAAATCAACCAACAAATGTATTTCGCCAGCTATAATACATTCTAGTCACAGGATAATCTTAGCCCAGGTGAAGAAGCAAAACATAAATTAATAAGCATTAGTAAGTAAGTTTATTTTAATAATGGACTGTAGAAGTACTAAACACTTGACAACACTATGAACTACAGATAAAAAGCAAAATGAATGTTCTAAATGGGAAAAATGATGTGGTCTAAAAAACTGAAAGCCAAACTTTTCACCTTTGGCTAAAATAAAAAATAAATAAGAAAAAGCAAGCTGGACCTCAAAGGACCAATACTATATGATATGGAAGGGCGAGAGAATATCAGAGAACTCAGTCTACAAAAGGCACTTTGTGAGCCAAGTTACTCAAGGCTAGGTGTCAGAATACTTTATAGATCAAACTACAAACACATAGACACACCCTAAAAAACTATTATGTGGCTCATATTAAGTGAAACCAATTTTGAAAAATATATCTTTCGCTGTGCAAAGTATATAATTTTGTGTGTACACACTGTGTCATCTCACTGTATAATGCCAATGTAGATATATTCTACCGGGCTGTCACAGTTCTTCATTACATAACAAGATTGCTATTTGTTTTTTAACTTTCCAGTATATTCTTGGGGAAGGGTGTCTACATTTATTCATATGCCAACAGAACTAGATTCTGATTCTTAAAATGAACAAGAAACTTCTGATCATTTTTCAACAAAGCAACAAATCTTATCCATTAAAGGTGGCGTTAGCTAATTAGGTAAGCCACCAAACAGTGAATCCTATTAACTCACTATGTAGATTTCTTCTGTTCTACAAAGTTAAGTTTTTTGGCTGATTAATATTAAGACATATGCTCACCTCTTGGTTAGGCAAAAACACAAATTTATTATTCAAATGCACATTTAGAACCTAGCTATTTTTTAAAGTTTTTAAATAATGAGAGTACTACTGTAAAATATAATACTTCTGATAAAATTAAGCACCAAAATTAAACATGGTGTTCAAAGACTTTAGTATTTATCAACCCAGAGTTGATCCTCAAAGTATTCCAGAGGCAACTCATCTACCTATTCACTACAAGACCAACAATACCTTAGTTTAATATAAACTCAGGTATGTATATAGTCTTTAAATGAGCAAAATACAGACAATCCAGTGTTTCCTTGGTTCCCAGATTAAAAACAATATGGCCATGCCAGCAGCAAGAGCCAAGTGAAAACAAATTTCACAGCCCTTGAAAAATACATAACTGTCATTGTTAATAAAAGCCAAGTTTGCAACTGGAAACACTGCCTTGTAAGCCAAGAACAAGATGTGTCTATTATAAATTCTCAGTTTCAGGACACCCTTTACGTGACAAAAAAAAAAAAAAATCAAATAACGTTGTTCTTGCAAATATAATGCAAATGAATGCTAATTTAAGTATTCAGAAGACAATGACAAATAAGGCTTTAGGACCTCGGTACATATTATTATGTAACTACAATACACATTAAGCAATCACCAAGTTGTAGGTAGGCCTTCCAAAAGGAGTGATTATGGTTTACCATGATCAGAGGTTGTGGTGTTATACTTAATCATGTTTTTTACCTGCAAGCAGGTGTTTACAGGTGTCAAGGAGTAAAACACGGATTCTACTTGTAAACCTATAGTTCTAATAAATTCTACCTACCTATTTTTTCTGCTTAAACTTTCTAATCCAATATGAAGTAAGCTGATATAATAGCTGACAGTATGATGTAATTTTTGTTTGCATGCTTTACAAACAAAAATTTAACTTGATTCATTTTTATTAAAATGCCAAAACCCGCACACTTAGAATCAGACCTTATTTCAACAACCACAAAGTTAAAATTTAACACTTACAAGGCACAAAATGAATGTGAGTGAAAGCTCATTTGGGAATGCTGCCGCTGCTATCTAAAGTAACCTTCAACCTTTCAACAAAAATACAAGCATCTCAAAAATAAAGTTTATAAGAATAACAATACTCAATATAGTTAGAAAATAGATTACTGAAACTATTGATAACAAATTAAACACAACATAGTCATTACAGAGGAAAAAATCCAAATACAAGGGAAAAAGATAATGAGAGGCAATAGGGCATATGGGTGTCATAAATCAATGGGATCTTCTACGATTTCTGTCCTGTCTGCTCAAACAATTTCAGGAAGCCTGGCATAAAATCTTCTGGGCCCTTCCAAAGATGCTGGCCTGAAGGCAATGCAAGCCACCTGACACCCCAGAGCAGCTCACAGGTTTTCTGATCAGTGAAGAGCAAAATAAAGAACAGCAGAGGGAGGAGATTTTTCAGACAGGTGGAATTACAACGCTCTAAAGTTTTCCAAGGCTGTCCCTAAACTGGCAAAGAGGAAACACTTATTTTTCTACCCAAAACAGAGATCCACACCAACAGCAGCCAGGATACCCAATGGTATAAAAGAGAGATGAAGGTTCAGGTGCAAAAAAAAAAAAAACACCAACTGGCACCACCTCAGAGAATAAACCTTGGATACACACATACAAAATTCACAAAGCCACCCCCTAACCAGCTCAACTCCAAAAATACTGGAGGATGGGAATCAACGGAAAACAGACTTTTGGCATCCCCAAACAACTGAAATGGGAGAATTCCCCACTCAGAGGTGACTAAGATGGTGACATTTCAAAGTGAGGAACACATTCCTGCAAAGAAATCATGGGCAGTTCTTGGAAATAAAAATGAATGAGGCTTCGCCTCGCTAGTGGTCAGGCAGGGGTGCTCCCACCGACCAGCTCAAAGCCCCCAAAAACCTTTTCTTAGGTCCAGTGACAAGTACCCTGCTCCCAGAGAGGGCACCCTCATGCAAACAGGCCACAGGGGACCTGGAATGCTGCCTCTGCACTTACCTCACAGGCGAGGGGCCCGTGGGCCTTGAGTGTGTCACCATCTCCCTCAGGCAGACCAGTCCGACGTGTGGCCATCATTTCATTTCAAATCACAAAGAAGGGACCAACCCTTTGGAGCCCACATTGGGGTAGGAATGCCACCACACAGCAAAAAAAAAAAAAAAAGGGGGGGGGGGAATAATTCCACACTAGGCTCTGAGGAGGGGCAGGGTTGGTGCAACAACGTGCCAGGGAAGGAATGTTTTTATGAAGCCCCTGAAGGATGTCCTGATGATTTCTTCGGACTTCAACTGACTGCACCGTCTCCGTCCATTTCTAGAGACTTCAAAAACAAAGACAGGCTTCTTGGCAGCTAGTGAAGCCAAAGGCAGAAAGCGGTCCCCTTCCTCCCGAATCCAACTGGAATCTGAGTAGGTCGTGAAGGCTTGAGCGTCAGCTCCCAACAAGATCGCTCCTGGAACGGGAAAAAATTAAAGGGCGTGAACTTTCTCCAGACGCTGACCTTAGCCTTGCCCACAGGTCTACCCCAAGTGCCCATTTCCAACACCTGGAAAGATAATTCGATCCATGCTGATGAACCTCACAAATTAAAGCTGAAATAAGCTTCCCGTATTAAAAATAAAATTAAAAAGAGAAAAATGTATAAATCGGGAGAAAGAAGAAATATCATAACTGCATGGTGGTTGCGAAAAAGACGCCTGGCTGTTGTGCAGCCTTCAACAAAAACCATTCCCTTTTCAAGTGCATTTAATTAATGTATTTGCTATGCAGAAGTGAAGGAGTATGGACGTTCTTCCGCATCACCCAGATAGTACGCTTAAAGGAAGTTTTCTTTCCACGAGACTAAAATGGGATAATACTTTACAAAAACCCTCCTCGCTTCCCTCCCACCCACTCCAAAATAAAAACAAAAAGCCAGCCTCGGACTCAGCCAGCGCCCTCTGGGTGCCTCCAGGCGCCCGCAGCGAGCTCCAGTGCCCCGGCCCGAGTCCCGGAGGAGGCGGCTGTTTTCCTTGGCCCGCGGCAAGGCTGGGTGGGGACGACGCCGGGCCGGGCGGGACTCCGGCGCAACTCCCTCTCCCGGGCATGATTCCGGAGCTACCTAAATGAAGCTACAACTCAAGCAACTTTTATGTAGTTGCTGCTCCCCAAACTACCACTCGACATTATCTTTCCCTTTCCCTGTGGCCACCTAGGGGGAAAAAATTGGAAAAAGAAAACCACCACCCACCTACCACGATTCCCTCCGCCCCTTCCAGAGGCGGGTCGGTGATCTGGATCTCAGGCGAAGGGCGGCCCAAATATGTACTTTAAAAAGGTGTTGGGAACCCAGTGGGGAAAAGACAAAAAGCTAGGGGCTCAGCCTTCGCGCCCGCTGGGCTCCGCGGCCAACAGGAGCGGGGAAGCGAGCCGGGCGCCGGGCCCCGCCAGGACGCGCTAGGCCGCAGGCTCGGTTAATATTCATGAGCAACCGGGAGGCGCCCCTCCTCCACGGCGGTCGGCCGGACCCCTACGCCCGCCGCCGGCCTTTGTGCCCTTCCCTCCTCCCTCCGGCTCTCTCTCGCTCCGCACACGCGGGTGCGGCCCCTCCGCCCCCACCGGGCGCCTGCCGTGGGCTTTCCTCGGCCACGCGCCTGGACCGACCAGACGGGGTGGTCCGAGGTGGCGCGAAGGGAAGGAACCCGCGGCGAACAGGACTCCCCGCCCGCGGGCTCTGCACCCTCTCGGTTAAAGCGGAAAATCAAGAGAAACGCACCGGAGGAAGCGGACTACTGGATCCTCAGGGGACTACCAGGCTCCGGGACAGCGCGCCCAGCAAGCCCAGCGCTAGCTGGTCCCAGCCGGCCGACGACCAGGCGCTGCCCGCCGCTGCGCTCCCAGGCCGCCGCCCCCGGCCGGCCGCTCCCAGACACCGCCGCGACCTGTCCCGGCCGGCCCCGGGCTCTCGGCCGCCGCGGGAGGGCGTGGGGCGGGGCGGCGGCCGCCGGACTCTCCCCTCGCCTCGCGGGGCCGGGCCGGGGCCGCGCTCGAGCGCCCGCGATCGCCAAGTGACAGAAGTGCTTTGCTCCGCTGCGAAGCCGAGCTGCTTCCCGGGGGCGGATTTCTCGCTTCTTCCTCCCTAGATCCACCTCCTCCTACTCCACCTCCTTCCCCTCCCCTCCCCAGGGGAGGCTCGGGGGCTGAATATTTTCTGTCTTGAATAATAGGGTCCCGGGAACCGACCCTAGAGAAGGGGGATTAGCCTGGGGGGCGGGAGGGAGTTGCTCGCCACCAGCTTCCCAGTGTATGTCGGGACCTACAAGCCCACGCTGCCCAACCCCCGGTACCACCCTAAGTCCGAACACAAATAAAACCTTCCCCGCCTTCTCCTATCTCCCGAACACTGAGCGGGAGCGGCCAGGAACAGAGCTTTCTACTGGGAAGACTCGGTGCTCGGCGTCAGAGCCGGAGGGGGGGGGAGGAACTATATGGCTAAATGTGCAGAAGTGAGGGATCACAGGTCCCAGACCGAAGGGGACAAGCCTTGATGAATTTTTGTCCCTTTTTCGCAGCGGGAGGGGAAAGAGGCTGCCAGGCGCTGAGGGACTAAGATAAGGGAGTGTCTTTTCAAGTCCCAAGGCAAACCAGCTTCTGGTAACAGGGAAAGGGTAGCAGCGAAGCGTTATTCATTCAGTTTTTTTCCCCTTTTCAAATCTCCAGAGCAGCTGAAAAAATTCGGCGGTGTAGGCGAAACGGAGGAGAGGTGGCTGCGTGCTCCACACTACCGATCACAGCGCCTCCGGGCTTAGAGGACCACCGCAGCCAGTCCGCACTCAATTCCCGGGCCTGGCCACAGACCGCTGGCGGCTTGCCCCGCCCCGCCGGCCTCGGGACATCTCCCGCTGCAAACCGTCCAATCCGGAGACGCGTCGGGACAGCAGGAGCCAGTCAGGAGCTGCTGACTCAAGCTTCCCTCCACCCTTGTCCCGCCCCCCAAAAGGAAAAGCCACCTCCCCTTTGTCTCCCCTTCCCACCCCACCCTGGCTCTAGGGAGGTATCTTCGCAGCTCTCATCATCTAGGGGTGGAAGTAGAGTAGCCTGAGGAAGAGGCAGCGTTTGTCACCTTGTTGCTTTCATCTTCGCCCCTTCCCACCCGCACCCCTCCTCCCTTTCCCCTTCCTCCTGCGGGTGCTGTTGAGGGTCATTTTAATCCGCGCTCAGGCCGGGGTACTGCCAGCTATTGTGTCTGATCCGCTGCCACCACTACCATCCTGAGGTAGAAAAGAGGAACAAAACCAAAAAGCTACGGAGTCTGTTTACCTTCTTACGACACTATCCCGAGAGGATTTAGAGACACCTTCCCACCCCACTCCTATCTTTCCCACCCCTCCCCCTGCCCGCTGCCTCAAGTCCTGTTTCTTGATGATGTAAAAAACAAAACAAAACACTAAAAACACTCCCTGGAGCCTGAATACCTACCTGTTCCTTGGTTTTTAGTCCTTCCTGAGAGTGGAATGTGCCAAATATTTAGAATGTACGACTAAATCCTCAGCCTCAACTAGAGGAAACTCTTTGACTAGATCATTTTTATATGATAAAACGTGCATGTTCTTGACAGCCCCTGACAAAACTAAGCCAATAACAAAGACAAAAAAAAGTAAACTAGAGGGAATGACTGCCAGTCAGTTGGTAATTTACTGAGCAGCCCACTGGGCTATAGCAGTATCCAGTTCTAGGTACTGTTGAGTAAATCAACAAGAAATGAATAGGAATGAAGGTTTCAAGTAGCAGACCTCTAGTGGACTTACAGAATATGCCGGGACTTACAGAATATGTCTAGAAAGGAAAAACAATTTAAAGCACAAAACAGCTCCTTACAAATGCCAGTGGGCATGCGTGGCATAAACTAACCTAACAGTTGACATTTAGGGTTAAGGTTTTTGTAAGGGTTGATTTTAAAAAGGGTTTTCAGGTTGGTAAAGGAGAGTAAATATAAATTTCATGACATGAAAAGGAGGTAAAACACATTTTAGGAATAGTGAAAAATTAGCATAACATAGAAAGACATTTCTACAAAAGGTAGGTAATCTAGATTTCAGTCCAGCTCCATTATTTTCCATATGACGTAGGGCAAGTTAGTACTTATATGTATATGTACTAGAGCTACCAAATAATAATAGTAACAACCGCCCATATAGCACTGCCTTTGTGCTCAGTATTCCTTGAAAAGCTTACACACAACTCAGTGAGATAGATGTGCAGAGCCAAGATTCAAGCTCAGGGAGTCAGTTTCAGAGTTCACAGTTTCTTCACAGCTATACTACCTCTAACATGGTTTTTAATAACAACAGCCAATACTTAGTTTAATATATGCTAATTATTGTGCTTTGTGAATACTAATTTAATCCTACTCCTGGGATCAGTGTGAGTGTGATGTCGTAGTATTTGGGAATGTTTTTAAGAACCATTATTATAAGTTACTACCATGTGTAACTTACCTGAGTTAGGATAGGTATTGTTAAGACGCAGGGTCTCAAGATTGGTCCTTCATGCTAAAGGTTAAAATGTATAGCACAATATTTTGCAGAGGCAGCTGAAACCAGATGAACTTGACCCAACCCAACAAGATAAATTTAGCCAGCTGCAAAGAAGAAATCAACATGTAATTAACCAAATAGTGTATATAGACCATGACTAAGCCTCCCTTTGGGGAGACAGAGCTTTGGATATGAATCCCCAGCCTCCTTTACTTGCTGCAAGTAAATAAAACTATCTAATATCTAACCACAGCCACCTCTTGTTCTCGAATAGAACACCCAAGCTAGGAACCCTTTGAGTTCAGTAATGGTATGGTTACAATGTTCTAAAATTTGGGAGTGTTTTTCAAAACCTTTACAATAATTTGGTATCCTATGAATCTTATGTATATTAAGGGATCTGAATAGAGAAAGACAAAAGCACAGTATTAAGATTTCAGAAACCTGGGTCCTAGCTCTCTACTAGGACCTCAGAGTATGTCTACTTTGCTGGCCTCCTGAGAGCATCAAACAAGATCATACAGGTAAAGGAGCTTTAGAAAGGTAAAAACATTACTTTGATGAAAATATTATTTTGAAGCAGGAATTTTTCTTGTTCCCCAACAAGAATGCTACTCTTTATAACGTCTTATTGATATTTATTAGGAACATATAAACCCAGTTAAAAATTAGGTCTATTCCTTTTTGAAGGCATGAGTAATAATAATAATGTTTTGAGAACTGTGTGAGTTCTCATTTAGATGAATTCTGAATTGACTAAAGTGGACGCCCTCTAGGCTTCTGGGAAGTGGCAGCCATCAGACAGTCACTCTCCAGTCCCAAGGCTAATGGTGTACTAGTTCAGGGTACAAATCCTTAGAGTTGTCTTGAGCTGCCCATCTTGGGCATTTCACTCATTAACACCTCCACCAGAGGGAGGACAAGAGAAAGGAAAAAGAGTCAAACGTACACATCATGTGGCTACTGGATAAGCACTCCAGCGAAAAAATTTGTGAAACAACAGGTTTAGAGATCATTACAAATGAAGAGAGATTTGAAATTAACTGTGGGTTTCACAATTAATACCTTGATAGTTTTCTTTATCCCAAATATCATGGACAAGCAAGAGCTAACAGTGATTCTTGCTTTGTTTACTTTGAAATTCTACTAATTTTTCTCTTTTAAGCATAGTTAATATATATGTGGCTTTCCTATCAAATAACAACTTAGAGTTCCCCTTGAAAGAGCCTCAAAAGTTACTGCAGCTATATTAATAACAACTGCAAGAAAACCTTATACACCATACTTCTTGCAATGTAGGCAAGACATTTTTAAAGTTGGGAACTATACCCTCAAAATGTAAGTTTTGACTTTGTTGTGACTCGATAATATTGTTTTGGTGCATCCTTATCAAGGAAAAATGTCAACGCCAGAAATAGAACCAAAATGTCCTAGGCCCTGGTCTAATGTCATTCTGCGATAATCTATGGATGATTTCTACTCTGAATATAGAAGTTGGCAATTCTAAGCAGTATAAGTGTTTGCCAGAGAATTCTACAAATGAAATGTGTAACATGGGCTGAAGCATTTGCAAAACTATGTGTCTGAGGCAGTTAGACCAATGACCTTCAGAGGAGTGAACGTTTTTCGTTTTACTAAAATAGTGTAAACTTTATTTCTTATTTATACAATACCACAAAACATAATCTACTAATACTTCTTTGGAAAAAAAGGCTTTCTTGTTTAATTGAATAACTACAGAAAACTCACCTCTTTAGTAGAGCATTTAACTACTGTAATCAAAAGAAGGGATTGATTTTCCAAAATAGAAAATTTCTAAAATTTTTCTTCCTTCATCATCTTTTTAATTAATTATGTAAATAATTTACTAATTTAATGCTCTGCATTTGCTAGATTTACAACTTATTATTTCTGTCCATATAATTACTATATATCTTCAATTATTAATTTCTAATCTAGTTCTAGTGGCACTACTTAATTCACCGTACACAGTCCCCAGCAAAGTGCCACACATAACAGATACCCTTAACTAGTTTCTCTGTCCTAAGCTCATTGTGGTATTTTCCTTCCCTGGACTAGCACTCTGCTTTGGTGCTTCTTTTGGGGGTTGTTTGTTTTTGGGTTTTTTTTGGTATTAATTAGTTACATGATCATAAAGAATCATTTTATTTTTAATGGAATATTATGTCCTTCCCTATCTAGAATATAAACGTCTCTAGGACAGATTCCTAAGGCTTTTACTTCTTTTCAAGCCCCCATAATAACCATCACAGCTTTTCCATGTAAAAATAACTATAAAATTATGCAAGAAATTAATGATGTGTCACTATGATTGGTAAATATTTATACTCAAGAAATTCCTGGCTGACCAACAACTCTCCAGGTTGCAGGGAGATAGTCATTGCATGTCTGTGTGCACATGCCCAAAATGGACAGTATCAATTTTAAGAGGTGTCCACAAAGAGAACATGTGGTATGGGTGTCAACTTCCAGAAATGCCACCTTTTATCTCTTTACCTAACTTCACCTCCAGTGGCTGAGATATTTTGTGGCAATAGTACCATGCCAAAAATTAATATTACTTGCATTTGGAAAGTAATTACAGAAGTTCAGCCCATGGTTTATCCATAATTATGTATTAAACATTTTCTTCAGAAATAAAATTATTTTTTTAGCACCAACACCTCCATAATTAAAATCAAATGGTATGGCAGTCACTTTCATCTGCATCATTAAGAGTTCATTTCCACAATTTAAGAAAAAATATAAATAAAAATGTTAAAAATTTTTTTATCCTAAGAATCATAACTTTTATTTATAAGCATGCCAATTTTCCTTAAAAATATAAAATGTTTCTACCCGCCCCATTACATATAAGTTGGAACATCCTGTGAAAACACTGTGTAATCTGGATAGAAACCCATATTACAACTGGAGAACTGAAATGCGTTTTTATCATCTTGGAATAGAATGCTAAATTCCTATCATTCTAACTAGGAACAGTGCTCACAATTGATTTTTGATATTATAGGCCTAATCAGAATGACCCAATGTTTTTAATCATAATGAAGAAAATATACTAGCTTTCCCTTTTATCTTTATAGTACAGAAGTAGAAGAGACATGTAACGACCTCTCAGTTCTCTGAGTTATGGAAGCTCTGGGTACGCTTTAATACTCTCTAGCATTGTAGATTCCATTTCTCGCTTCCTATAATTGCTTGCATTCTCTACTAATCCAAAGTCAACTCACCGAGGGTTCTTTCTGCAGATAGGAAAGGACTGCAGAAAAGTATGTGGCAATTCACATCTGGGTTTAAGTAGGATAGTTGTAGACCTGCGTAACATATTCCTCAAATACCTTTTCAGTTATAGTTTAATTTTTAAAAATTGCAACATAAAAAAGAAAAAATAGACATTGCAACAATGAAAGGGCCCAATTCCATACTACAATTTATGAACCCATTCTCTTGCTCTCTTCCAGCCTCCTGTTGTGGCTCCCCTCATTGGCTAGCTTCAACAGGAGGCCCAAGGCACTCAAAGATAATGTATTTACTCTGTTTTCCTACTAATAGGAAATCAGGACCACAAATGAATGGGAAGAGAACTTTAAATATTTTAAATATTTAAGTATTTTAATATAAAATATTTTAAATAATTATTTAAAATAATTTAATATTTTAAATTGTGGGGGAAGAGGAAAATGAAATAAGAGCATATTCTAAGGAGAAAGAAAGAATTATAGAAGAAACTAACCCCAGTAAACAGAAAAATAGAGAGAACAGTGAAATGACAAAAGAATGAGTAATACATAAAAGTGGTTGGAAGAGTTAAGAAAAGATATTGAGAAGGGGGAAAAAATCACACCATTGCAGAAATAATGAATGGATTAGAAATAAGAAAGAATGAGAAAAAATAACTGGCAGAAAATAGAATC